TGGGGACACAGGGTGACCCTCTGAGAAAGGAGGTAACTTTTTAACGAAAAAAAAAAAAAAAAAGAAAAGGCGGGGGAAAAAAAGCAGAGAACTAATTCATTTATTTAACCCAGAAACGGTTATAATCTGCAACCCTGCAATCCTCTTACACAACTGTTTTGGCAAGCCCCCCTATGTTCCAACAAATATTAAACTGTGCTTGCCATTTGTCTAAGGAATCTTGCATTAATAAACATGAAGAAGAACACTTTTACCTCCCACTCTCAATGACGCGACAAAACAAAGACCAGCTGTATTCATCAATGGGTCCTTGTTCTGCACATAAAGGCTAATTACATTTTACTTCAAGCCTACACATGGAAAACTTTACTGCTGCCATCCCCGACAAGTCAGCCTGCGCTGTCCCAGCTGACGCGGGGTGGTGACTGCTCACAATACATCGGGCTCTCGGGACAGCCCTGGTGCCTTCGACCTGCGGCCTGCTTTCCCAAATGGGGGTGACACTGCCCCGTGACAGAGAGGCGAGGGCAATGTGGGCTCTTGGAATCCCATGGGAGATGCTGCAATTCACGTCCATCTTTCCCGAGGTCTGCTCATTTCAGAAATGCACACCAGGCCCCACTGCGAGCTTGTCGGGTGGAGCTTGTGTTTGCTGATCATGGAAGAGGGAGCGGGTTATTAGGGACCGTGCTAGGGGCTGTCCGCATGCCCTCCCTGACTTTGCACAACGCCCGCTGTGCGCATCCGTCGTCGGGGAAGGCAAGTGGGAATGGTGGTCAGTGAGCGCCCACAAGGCCACACGGAAGAGTCGTGGACCCTTCCCCCGAGCCACTTGTGGGTCAGCCTTCTCCAAAGCTCACGCTAGACTGTGCCACCCCATCCCCTTCTTGGCTTTTCTGTCGATGAGGATTTAAGAATTCCCTACTCTCCGAGAGAGAAAAGAAACGGTTTAGGAATGTTTTAAGGTCATTTGTGAAAAGGTTTGCCCCTGGTGGGCTCATATTCGTATGTATTAACGAGAAGACGTCTAGTCTAATAAGATACACGTAGGGTGGGTCTCAGGCAGATGGCAGAGTGACAAACCTTTCCCATAAAATAAAAGGAGAGAGGGATGTGAGGGGGAGCCTCCAGATACATGCAGTCTCCCAGACTGACGGACTCCCTGCAAAGCTACAAGAAAGTAGTGACTACTGACTCAGTCCATTCTCCACATTTTTTGTGGATTACTTACTCTGGGAAGCATGTACAGTAAGGGTTTGGCCCTAGGCTGCCTTTTGTTAGCAGTCAGTCCGTTTCCGACTTGGGAAATGCCCGACCCCCGTGGGGTCCTGAGTCTGCCACCCTCCCCCCACCCGGCCCCACATACGCTGCGCCCACCTTGCCCCATCCCCACGTTCGGCACATCTGGCTGGCCCCCCTGTGTTCTCACATACTGCACTCCTTTGCCTCCAGCAGCCCCTCACCTGAACTTATCTTTCAACCGCAAACCACACGTCACCCCCTTTAGGAAGGCTTCCCTGATGACCCTTTCCTTTTGCTCCAGCTGGGTGCGCCTCCCCTGGAGGCTGTCCACTGGCTGCTGCTGAGTTTGGCCACAGGAGTCCTGGCAGCGGGAAGAAGGGAGGGGGAGGTCAGGGGTTGCTCTTCGTCCCAAAGGCCACAGGTCCTCGCAAGCCTCGGTGTGGTACAGCCCCGCCAGTCCTGGTTCAAGCTGCCACATTCCCTCTGTGGTTTCCCTGCTGCCTGCCCCTAGCTGGAGTGTGCTGTCTGTCATGTGGACCCCCTGACAGCACGGAGGTTGTGCTAGCTAACGTCACAGCAGTGATCACCCTGGATTCCAATGGACTGTCTCCCTGAGCCTTCTATCTCCGGATTTCCAGAGCCCAGCAAAGGGCTAGGCTCAGAGGAGTCCTCTAGGAATGTCTACTGTGCTGGTGAGCCAATCTGTTACATCTGAATCGTGTCCCTCATGAGTTAGGCTTGTTCTCCCCACGAATGCACACACGGGCCACACCGAAGCAATCCCCTGCTCTGATCCCAGGAGGTGACGCACCCTGAGTGCCCACGGCCCCGAAAGCAGTCTGTGACAATAGCCACAGTCCCGAAGCAGAACATTCTGTTAGAATAAGCAACTCTCATACTTTTTGATTCTATTTTCCACTTACTGGAGTTTAGTGAACATAAGCAAGTAATGCATGGATTTTCATTTATTTGGATTTTAGGGAGAAAAAATCTTTTTGGCCTTAAGACATGCTGATACGATGAGAAACCATCCAGAAAAATTTCTGAGCCCACACCAGTAACCGCTGTTGCTCATCAGATGCCAGTAGGGTCGGAGTCTAGGAGAGGTCTAGGGCCTCTGGGGCTTCCCTGGGTGACCATGCTGGTTCAGGGGACCCAAGATTTAATGTTCTTACCTGTAACATGACAGAGCCGGCTGCTTAGGAACAGCCCAGGAGTCAGTGCATCTATAGACAGTAACTAGAAAAATACTTAAGACTGAAAATCATCCCTGTCATCTTAAGGGAGCAGGATCACCTGGCAGCAGGGCCCTGACAGGTGACTGAGCTGTCATTCCCCAGCGTGAGCCTGGCCTCTAGCAAGGTCAGAGAGGGTAGGGACAGAGGATGGGAGACCCTGACTCTCTGGGCTGTCTCCCGGTCACTCCCCAGCCACCACATTCCCCACCCAGCGGGGATGGAAACCTGTGAGCGGGGAACATTTACGCCCTTTCTAGATGGCTCTTCTCTGCTCAGTCGCTTCCCCAACACCTAAAACAAACCAATTAAATGGACACAAATTTTCTACGTGGCTCCTTTAGAAGCCCAATAAGGAAATGATGAGTCTAAACCAGGGACCAGTACTTAGCTGTCATGTGACAAGTGGCATTACCTGCTATCATTTCTGAATGGTTTCGGTAGATGCTCTGTCATCAGGCTGTTTCTTTTCCTCAAGTAGATGCACTTCTGAGGCTAAAAGCACCTCCCCAGCATGCCCCGGGAGGACATGGCAGGAGATGCCGGCTTCTGGAAGCCGAGACTTTTATAACACTCTCAGAGCAGTGGCTTTCAAAATAATTTTTCATTGAGACCCACCGGAAGAACTGCATTTTACACTGCGACCCAATAACTATACATTTATAATTTTAGATTTATACACATAATGAACACAAAAGTGTCACAAAACAATATCTGACTTTACTATGTGCCATGAGCCACGATACTGTCTACTCCATTCTGTTATTTTGTTTTCTATTGTATTTTATTGTTCAACCAGCCAGTCGCTACTCACTACACTGGTTTCGCCCCTGTGACACCCAGTTTGAGAAACACTGGCTTAGAGGGGCTTAGACACGGATTGCACAACTTTTGAAGTGAGTAACAAAGCAAGCTTTGGTTAATTATAGAAACACAAGATGTATCTATGTCTTCTAGAAAGAGGTGTGGTTTAAAAAAATAAAATAATGAACACTAGTGAAAAAAAAAAAAAGGGAATTTACCAAGAAAGACAACGACTATTCGTCTTAGTAAAGTCCAGGCAGAAATAATAGAAAAATAAAGGTGGCAGGTTGGCAGAATAGGGGGGCCGGACATGGACACCAAGGAGTATCAGGGTGATAGCAGTTGGTATGGTTTCTGCTGAGCTTCCATCTGAGGGGTGAGTGGGGGGGTGAGTGCCCTCCCATCGATGCTGGTGCCCCGGGCCAGAGGAGTTAATACCAGAGCCTCCACGTTTCAGAGGGCAATCTCAACAGTTAAACACCTCAGAGCCAGCTCCTTCTATCCGACCTGAAGTCACACTTCAGCACGCCGAGACAAGAAGGTAGAATGACCTGGCAACTTCCACTGGGATTAGATATGCCAACAGGTCAGCCAGAGTCGCTGAGACCGAGGAGGGTATTTTCGTCTTTGCGCCGAAGTTCTGTGCTCATGATCAAAACTGGCTCCGCCCGCCAGGCCTGGCTAGCTCTCAAGGGCTCTAGCTACTCAACGATGCAGAGCAAAGGTCAAGAGCCCACCGAGGTGGGCCCTGGGAGCAGCAGGCCAAGCAGCAACGTCAAAGGCCAAGGGCGAGTGTGATGGGACAGAGGGATGCCCGGCGTAGAGCAGGAGCCCTGGAGGAGGTGGTGCTCTTCAGAGCCCCCCCTCCCCCCCCATCGCACACTGAAGCCCGTGCAGGCTCTATGCGAGCACAGCAGGAGCCCCTCCTCACTGGTGCAGAGCAGCCTGGGGGGGCATGGGCTTCTGCCGGAGACCGGGGGAGCCTCCCAGGACAGGAGGAGGTGGCTCAACCTCTCATCTGGCGGTTCTGCCTGTCTGGACTTCAGCAGAGGAGACTGGGGCTAGGGACAATCTCTGCTGCTTTTTCATCTCTCTTGATTTCTGTCAATACTGTTCGTTCCTTCCTTCCGGGTGTTCTCCATGGAGGACGGGCTAGCAACGGGTGTACCTGTGCTGCCCCAGATCACTGATTTCCTTCTGACAAGAGCCCTGGGTGACACGCCCGCCGTAACACGCATGCTCCCTATGCGTATGTGTCCGCACACGGACGCCTTGTGTTCCAAGGTGTGACGTGAGTAAATATTTCTGTGTGGGAGCCAAGGACGCAGACACAGGAAAAAGTAATGTGATTTGCACAGACCCAGCTCCCCGAAACATCCCAAGAGTCACCTCTTCTATAAGATGCCCTGTTTCCAAACTTTCTTAGAAAAAGGCACATGGTGATGAGGCTTCACAATAATTAAGGACACAAGTTCCAGTGTGCTAGGGCCACCAGAGCTTACTGTCACATCGTGAGTATTAGACTGACACAAGCAGCTCACGGGGGTGACACTGTTTTCCTCACAGCAGCTCTGAGGCTGAGCGCCTCCTGAATCCCGTGCCGCTTTGTGAAAGCCAACAGACAGGAGGGCAAGGCAGGGGGACTCTTCTGTGGATTAGCAAAATCGGGGGATACCTGACCAAAAGCGTGCAGACGGAGGGAGCCGGGCAGAGACTTACTTGGCAGTAATTTCTTCATCATATTTGGTTTTCAGGTCAAATAATTCTGTTCGAGTTTTTTCCAGGGCTGAAAAGCAGAGGACATAAAATCTTAATATAAGATACCGGTCATTCACATTAAATTAAAAAAGAAAAAGTAGGGGGGCCTGGTTGGCTCAGTTGGTTAAGCATTTGACTCTTGATTTCGGCTCAGATCATGATCTCAGGGTCGTGAGATCTGAGCCCCGTGTCGGGCTCTGCGCTGGGCGTGGAGCCTGCTTGAGATCCTCTCTTCCCCTGTCCCTCCTCCCCCATCTCTAAAAAAAAAAAAAAAAGAAAAAAGGAAAAAGTGTACAAGCAATATATTCACATCCAAGGAGTCAAAGATGACAAAAGTACACAGAATGGGGCCAAAAATCCCCTTTCATTTCCACCTCATCTTATCCATGCACCTCCTTGGAGATAACTCTTGTTACTAGTTCAGTGTGCAGATTTCCTGCTTTTATATATATTTGATTATTTAAAAAATAGTTCCATAGATTAACTGTGTGTATATATATATTTTTGTTTTGTTTTGTTTTTTTCTCGGCCTCGCACAGATAGGATGATACACATATATTCTGAGACTTGCTCTTTTCCTTTAGCAGAACAGCCTGGAAAGCGCTCCATGTCAGGACACAGGCAGTAACAATTAGCTCTTACACGAAGCTTGCCAAATGCCGGGCACCTGAGGACCCACAGAAGCCAAGGTCCGGGGGTAAGGAGCTGAGACGCTCCAGACAGACAAACACCACCTAGCTGGCTCCCCTGACAGGCCAACTTACATCCCCATCAATACTAGGAGTGGGACTATTTTCCTATACTCTCACCAACACCGGATATTATCAATTAAAAAAATTCTTTTGACAGTCTGGCAGGCAAAACAATCTTTCCCTGATTTAATTAGCATCCTCTTGCCTGTTACGAATTGTTAATGTTTTTTCATGTGTGTAGTGGCCATGTGCATCTCCTCTGCAGACTGCCTGTTTGTGTCTCTAGCCCCTCATTCTACTGGACTGTTTATCTCTTTTTACTGATCTCTTAGTGATTTTTAGGCGGTTTCTAGAGTTTGGGGGTCTTATTCACATGTTTGGAACTGTGCTGTGATTATGTTCTCATACTCTGTCCTTCTGATGCCTTCCCCCCCACGTTTAAATTAAGTATATGACGCAGTTTCCCTTTCAGGGAAAAAAAAAAAGAGAAAGAAGAAGAAAAAAGCATAAAGAAATGATAAAAACTGTAGCACAACCTTTTTGGGCATCTTAAATTGTAAAGGTCTGCTATTACTATGCTTAACTTCACTTAGGGTAGAAATAAGTGTTGTGGTTTTTTTTTTCCCCCATTATTGTTCCAAATGAAATGTCAGTTCTTGACAGCTTGGCGATTTAGATGTGTTTGTTGGAAAAGAGCAGAAAAAAAGGATGGCGTGTGGAAGGGATGGAAAAGGAATTCAGATCCTCCCTCCTCGACGTTAACAACTCAGTGTGGGTGATAATGAAGTCAAGGTGGAGAGGCTGGGGGGCTCTGAGGAGCGTGGGCTCCTTCACTCCTCCAGGGTGCCCGGTACGGGGAGGGGGGAGGGTGTGTGGGGGGGGACCAGGGGGGCGGCCCAAAGCCCCCCCACTTTGGTCTTCCCCGAATGGGCTTGACTAGGATGAAGACCATCACACCTGTCTGCAGACTTTGAACTTTGTGCTCCGCTTCCTCCAGCTTTGAGGTGGTGGACATGTGTGTCTCCTGCAGCTTTCTGAAAAGGAAGAGAATAAAGCCAACTGGTTATCTTGCTTCCCAACGTGAACGTCTCGTGCGCTTTGGAGCTCGGCGGCCAATGATCTTTGCAGCAACCCACACATCTGGCAACAGGCACACAATTTGGCTACCGCTGGTGGCGCCCTGAGCACCATGCGCCCGCTCCCCGATCTTTAACACCCCGAGACTCTGTACCCACGTGTGACACTATGTGGGGCACGCATCCTGAGGGACCTGACGTGTGCTAATGGATGCAGCCGGTTATCTTAAATGTAACTTGTTCCTCACATGCCAGATATTAAAAACAAAAAACAAAAAAACAATAAACCATCATCACGCACTCATTGTTTTCTGAAGTTACCCAAGAAGAATGACACATTTACATTTTGCTGACACAATGAGGAATTTGTTGGCATAAAGGACGTGCTAATAGATGTGACAGGTGGCTCCAGGTCTGGTATAATGGGATGTAAATGTGACTGTAATACCTAATGGGCGATGCTCAACGTGTGAACCCAGTGTCCCCAGGTTCACATTTCCCCTGATCTCCAAATGAATTCCCTGGTCAATAAATAGCATTCCTCCCTCCTCATCTGCAGAAAATTTCTAAAAATAAGTTCATTATTTTTACATCGTATGAACAGAACACATGCTCTCAGACTAAAAAACTTGGGAGTATAGAAAAGTAGAAATTACACTGTTTAAAAAAAAAAAAAATCACCCAAATTTCCATCCCCTAAGGAGAAGGACTGCTCACGTTTTCACATATTCCAATTATAAAACTATTACAGGTTCCGAGTTAAAAAAAAAAACAACAAACCCACCAGCACAACTATTCTATAAACTCACATGTAATATATGAGAGTGTAATATACACTCCTTGACCCTTTTAGTGTGAAAGGGATCCTAGCACACACACGCTGGCCTGCTTTTTCACTTAGTTCCTTACTTTGGAAGCGTTCTACACCAGTATACACAGCTCCTCCCCATTCTTATTAAATAATTAACATAACCAGCCTCTGTGGACACTTAGATTGTTTATCGCCTCTTTCCACTAAACAATTCTGCAGTGATCATTATGCAGACATTGTTGCATTATTCTGACAGTGAATCTGTTGGATGAAGTTCTAGCAGAGGAATTAGAATGGTCAAAGAGTACGTGCAATTTTTTGTTACTGTTGTTCTGATAGATATTGAGAAACTTCCCAACAACAACAAAAACCTCACTAATTTAAACTCTTGCCAACAATATGCGAGTGTTTGTTTTCCTGTGCCAACACTGGATAAAATTAAACTGAATTTTCCTGCTGAGTAAAGCTGAGCATTTGTTTCACTTTGTACGAACTGTCTGCGTATCTCCTTCGTCCACTTCATAGCACTCATTTTTTTCCCTATTAATTTGTAAGGACCCTTATGCGGTGGGAAAATGTCTTCCTAGTTTTTTGATGCTTTTACAATGTTTATTGTTATTTATTTTTAAACGATCAGTTTTCAATTATGATTAGAAATACCTACTCTAAAATTATTAAAAACAAAATACTTGCCTAAGTTTTCTTCCAGTATGTACATGACTGAATTATTAATGTTGAAACCCTAGATCCCTTTCAATTCCTTGGTGTAAAGAACGAGATAAAAAAAAAAAAATCTAGCTTTATCCTTCATCCCAAGTGGTCAGTCTGATATTTGCATCTTTAAATATAATTAATTCTTTTACCTAGTTTGGAAAGCCAATTTAATAATATCAAATTCCCAGAAGAATTTACTTCCACAATTTTCAAATGCATGACTGCTCTGTGCAGCTGTAATCACATGATATGTAATTCCGTATCATGCATTTTTCACTCCCTGTCATGCTGGATATATCGCTGGTCTCATTTCAAATTCTACACTGCTATTATTTTAATGGCTGTGTAATGTTCCAGTTGGGGATGGCCCAGCTTTATCTACGCATTTCTCTCTGGCCGGGCATTTTGACTGCTTTTATCCCATCCCTTCACCCTAATATCAGTAACATGGTGAGAAACTGCTTTTGGGCATACAGTGGTCTCCTAGGAGGCACGTTGGGGCTGGGTCAAGAGTCTGCTCAGCCTTCAGAGCCCTGACTCTGTGGGGCTCCCTTCTTTCCTGGGGGGCAGCACCTGGCCCTGCTCTCCCAGGCTGCGTGAGACTGGCCTTGGTCCTGCAGCGAGGACTCTGGGAGGCTACATGTGACCACCAGGGGAGGCCAGAGCTGGAGTGGTGGGCTGGGCTCTGGTCCCACCTCTGGGTGGCTAGCCGGGAGAGCATGGGCAGGTCCCAAATCTGAAGCCCGGTTTCTCTATCTGTAACAGATTTTACTGATATCAGGGGCTTCATATATGGAGCGTGGTGAGGTACAGAAAAGAGGCCAAAAACAACAAAAAAATCCAAAAAACAAAAAAACCAAGATTTGTGTGTGATGTTAAATATCCACATTCATTTCAGGAGGTGGCAGGGGTTCGACCAACATGCATCCAGGGCATCCCCAGAGAGGGCACACGGCCATGCCCTGTCACCTCAGCTCACGTCAGCACATGCCAAGCATACACGCTTTGTGCTCAACCCTGGACCCACTCTGGTCCCCTTGACCACCGGACGCCATCCCCCCACGGGTAAAGACCGATGCACGGCACTCAAGGTAATCCCTCAGGTGACAGAGGAAGGGACGCCTTTATTTTTCCAAACAAAATTTTGCTGAGAGCCCCGCAGAGCGTGGTTTACAACCCGGGCTGGCCTCGTGCAGCCCCCAACACTCACCTCTCCTTTTCTGCAAAATCATTTTGTAACTTTTGTTCCTTTTCGAGAGCTATAGTCTCCGCTTGGTTCTTCAGAGTCTGTTCATATTCTCGGATTTTTTCTTTAAGTGCTTTTATCGTAACCTCTGCAGAAAGGGAAACATGGGCGTGAGAGGCCTATAGCACGATTCCACGCGGCTTTTGTAACCTGGTAGGATTGCTGTGTTTTAAACTTGAGCTCCTCAACCCTGACACAAAATCAATGGTTACGAGTCCCTTCGGAGACCTTTTACTCCCTAAATGTTAAATTGAACTTTAAACATTTAGGCTGCGGAGGATCAATGGATTTTGCTGGGAAGAAGAGCTATGGTTTCTTCAATACAACTTAAAAAAAAAGTGTGTGTGTTTGTGTGGGGGGGAAAATCAGTGGTCACACAGAATATCATCTTATTGATAAGCTTTAAATTAGTCCTCTACTGAGGGAAGATGAATCGTATTTTTGTGCGGTTTAAGTACTTTCGCACAAAGAAAACAGTTCAAAATCGTGTGCGTGTTTTGGAAGAAGGGATCCTGGCCAAAGTCAGGTGAGTCTACAGATGTCCCCGGCCCTGGGCTGTGGTTCCCTGGTTTCACAAGCGATGGAGTGCGCAGTGTGCTAAGTGGACACGGTGCGCATCTCCTCTGCTGGAAGGGACACACCCTGGAGCTTGGGTGCCAAACACCCACCACCCAGGCTGGAGTCCAAAGGATGGGGGCTGTGTGCACAGAGCAGGTGGTACAGGGCCTGGGGGAGCCACATCTGAGGGACAGTGAGTGCCAGGGGTGTGGGCAGAAGTGCCGGGTGATGGAGGAGTCTTGTGGGGCTCCGTGCTCAGGACAGGGCCCCATGGGGGATAGGGTCCCACCACCACCGAGTGCATGTTTAGAGCCCTCGCTTTAATGACCCCAAACGGGAACGCCAAAGCAGATATAATGAGCAGGGCAGGGTCCTGACTCAGACCCGCGGGTGGCTCGAGGGCAGGACTATTCCTCCTGCTCGCTACCATAGACACCCCCACATCACCCTCTGTGCTGGACATTCCCTGGCAGGGCACTGCGGTCCCAGCTCCAGGGACAGTAGAGCTCTTGGGGAGCCGACCTGCTGTGCGTGGATCCGTCTCGTAAAAGGCCAGGCCGAGAAAGGGCCAAGGCACGAATGAATGGAGGAGGCGAGGCGGGTTGACCGGGGCTTGTGACAATGCAGCTGAGGCTCACGGGACAACACTGGCTGCCAGGTCTTCGCCCAAGTAAGAGCTTGCACTGGGGCCCTCGGTCCTTCAGGCTGTAACCCGCTTCCACTTTTACTCCCCCAACTGCACAGATGTGCTGGGCGGTTAGTACCTGCATGGCTTAGTGGATAAAAGCTAAAGGCTCCTTCGTTAAGAGAAGAAACTGGCCCTTTTCATTAAGTGGAACCCAAAGGGTTCTCCTTAGAGGGAGAGAGAGGAAATTAAAACCAATGACCCTGTCAGGGAATCTGAAAGGAGAAAGGGGGTCTTTCTGCCTTTGGGGCTCGCTGTTTGGGGCCTGAAAGAAATGCTCTGTGGGCCTCATGGCTAGTGATGCACGTCACTGTCGAGCAACAGTGATAGGGCCAAAGTTGTCCACGTCCCAAGTGGATGCCATGACAGGTCAACTCTGAAAACACATGCCCACTCTTTTAAGTCAATGGTCTATATGACTGTGTCCACATCTAGCATTTCTGCCTCTCACAATTGGTGGGAAATATCTGTACCGCCTGTGGACCTCAGTGCTCCTCCCAGTGGGGTTTCCAGTGTGACACAGCTATGCTCCTCCCAGGGGAGTCTGGGGCACCAGCTGGGGGCTCCCGCTCCATCTGACGAGGTCTCTTTGCCATCCCCACCCCGCCTGGGCTGCTTGCTGGCCCGCCGACACTAAAGCCAGGGGCTGGCTCGTCCTGGAGCCTCTGGTCCTCCTCTGGCAGGCAGGCCTGGGGCTGGGACACTCTCCCGGGTGTGTCCCAGCTGGAACCCCTCCATGTGAGCCCATGAGGAGGAAGAATGGTCCCAGAGAGGACCGCAGCGCTCTGCTCTAATTAGCTGCACCAGAGTGCCAATGTGCTCAGTTTCAAACAGCAGGGAAAGTTCCAGCACTTGATAAAGAGAGGCCCTTCCTGCTCCACCTTTTCATCCATCTACGCTACGGCTGTGATGATAAACACACGTGACGCACACCCCACCTTTCCAAATCAAAACCACCGTATACTGGGAAGAAAAGAGAGGAAATCGCCATTTTTCTGTAATTTGGGAAAAATCTATAAGATACCAATAAATAAAGGCGGGGGGTGGGAATTTCTAGAAAAAACAGCCGTGTGCACTAAGAGCCTCTGATATGTACTGAGTGTTGGGAAAAGAGGTAAAGGTTTCCCCAGCATCTCATGTAAGCCCACCACAATCCTAAGTGGTTACTATGTGAAGCCTCCCACCCAGGAAAAGGAGGATTTTTGCAAACTGAGGTCCCTCGATCACTTAAGGTCTCAGAGCTAAACAGTGGCCCCGAAGGGTCTCAAAGCAGGTCTGTCCACCTCTGAAGCCTTTGTTCTTAAGTCATGGGACTATGGTATTTCACTGAAAAAAGCCCATGAGATGGGGCATTTGGGGAGGACACCCCATACTCAGTTACAGTTCCTCACTGTGCAACTAGCCACAGGGGTGCTGACCGAGCCAGGCGGGGGGAGGAAGGCCACGTAGAGCCCTGCGCCCACCAGCACGTCCTCCAACAAAAAAATCCATAAAAAAAACACAAAGAGTGGGTCTTGCAAAATGAGATATCAGAGGTCACGGGAGGGAAAAAAGCAGCGCCCTCCTTTTGGGTAGTGCTGCAAGGAACCTAGATGTGCGTGTTTCCAGGTTCTCTCTCACCCAGAGAGGGTGTGTGTGTGTGTGGGGGGGCAGGCAGCCCCTTCTCTCACCTGGATCCCAGCCTGCTATGTCCAACACCTCACTCTGAAGCAGGACTACGCTGTCCCGATGCACCCCAAAGGCTCACCACTCCCTGTGGAGCCAGAGCGAGGTGGCAATTCCTCTGGTTCTGTGCTCCCCCACCCCGGGGAGGGAGGAAGGGGGATCCTCAGGTCTGCCTCCCGAAGCCTGTCTCCAATGGTCTCAAAGCCAAAGGACACTTTAAAGATCTAAGTGATTCTGTATCCAGCGCTCAGAGCGAATTAAAGAGAGCCCTCCAAAGTCACCCAAGAGGTCGGCCTCTGGCTCCCAGCTACTTCCTCGCCCACACTCCCAAATCGAAACACACAGGTGAAGTTTTACGTGGAGTTGGCAGAACGACCCACAGCTGCTGCGACATGGGGCCGCCCTCTGTCCCTGCGACAGGGAAGTCCACGGGCTCCTGGACACGGTGACCACGTCTGGATTTGAGGTGCCTCGGAGATCCCTTTGTTCTTCCCTGACAGGAAGAGCCGGGCAACCTTTGCCCTCCCGGCCCCGGTCGCCAGCTGGGCAGCCCCACTGGTTCTGTTTCATTAAATTTGGAAGGAGGAGGGGACGCGGACCAGCGGCCATTACTAAAGGACTTACTGGCCGTGGCCCTTTGATCACGAGCTGGCTCTCTGACAGGTGTCGCCTGCAGGCAACACATCAGCCTTTTAAAAGGCGGATCCCATCACAGGATGGTCCAGGAAGAATGTGAAAGAATCCTGGTTGGTCCCGTCACAGGGCAATAAATATCGCATGTGCTGTTATTGTGCCGAGGAGAAGTCTGGCTTCCAAACGGCTAGGCGTTATTACTATGATTATCTCTCTTTAACGATTCTCATTTGGGCCCCACCCTGACTTTGTGACGTGGAGTACAGTTAGAGCTAGTCCCAACAGCATGGGGAAGGCAATTAGAGGCAGAGGGAAAAAAAAAAAAAGAAAAGAAAGAAAGCAAAGACAAGACAAAGCAAAGCACAGAACGGATCTGCCACCAACCTTGATTTTTCACTTCGGCAAATTCCTTGTTGTACTCGTCCAGAGTTTCCCTAAGCTTCTGGTTCTCTGTTTCAATGTCGTGCAGACGCTGCACTTTGAGCTGGAGCTGCTGCCCAAGGTCCAGAGCAGGCACGGGATCTACGGGAGAGGAAAACGCCTGTCACCCTACTCTGGCCATGGACCGGCCACGTTCATGGCCAAGTGGAGGCTTGGAGTGGGCCATCTGCGGTGCCCAGGAGGTCAGCCTCCTGCGGGCTCCCCTGTGGATGCCACCGCTTGCCAGAAGCCAGGGTACCTGTGGCCTCCCTGCCCCCCTGTCCCCCACAGAGCCCCGGGCCCCACGGCTGGCTGGCTGGGGATGCTTCTCTGCGGCCTACAAAGGATGTGTACGCAGACGCACCCTCCAGGGTCACAGCCTATGGACGCGCGCGGCCCAGGAACGGCCACGGGCGCACTGGGATTTGCCCACTGCTCTGGCATGGTGTGACACTCGAAGGATTTCTCGGTCCTCGATCAGACTGACAGGAAGGGGATACGTGAGGAGGTGGCAAGGGGAGGAACCCCGGGAAAGTCCACCAGGCTTGCAGGATGGACAGTGTGTGGCAAGGTGCCATAAGCCTCGAGTTTCCAGTAATTCTTAGGAAGCTGGAAATAACACCTGATCCTCTGACAGCGTCTCGCCATCAGACACACTCTGACGGACGTTTTCTCTGAGCTTCCCCGCAATCCTAGGAAGGGGATGTGACGGTGTGTCGCATTCCTGTCACACAAGTGGAGACTAAAGCTCGGGGGAGCACAGTGACTTGCCCAAGGTTTCCCGGCTACTTAGCGGGCCTGCCAGCTGGGGGGGCCAAGACACCCCGGATCATAGTACGGACGGCAGGAGACCGCACCTGGTCACGTGGGGTCCTGTGGCCAACTCAGTGTACCAACTGCAATCAGGCTGACTTACACAAAACTGGATTTTAACCTCAAATTTGAGACTGCAGACACAGAATTTGCAATACTGACTCTTGGCCTTTGACTCTACCGCTAATTCAGCGTGAAATGGAGAGATGTTAGATGCTCTCTGGGCGTCGATCTGCTCTTTATTTTTCCTTCTGCTGCCTGAAAGGCACTTCTGGTCCACCTGCTGGGCACCGGTGGAGCGCCTCCCCTAGAATTCTCGGGCCCCGTCGGAGTGGAATACCCTAGTCTGCTGGGCTTAGAAGAGATTACTGAAGATATTTCTGGTATGGACGCCAGCCTCACTTGTGAGGTGGCTGCAAAGATTTAGTCTCTGCTTGAGGAATGCTAAACACCAAGCCCTGTGGATCAACAAGGGTATATATTCAAGAGCTCACTTAATTTTCAAATACCAGTGTCATTAATTTTCAGACCACCCTCGGTTCCTGGAAGCAAGGGGAGATCTCCCCTCCCTTAGTGGGCCAGGCCGCCGGGAGCCAGGAACTCTGTGAGATGCCAATGTCTCTGCAGAGTTTACAGAAAGGCAGGCACTGGGAAATGTCCAGCGCCACGGCAGACCTGCACGTGGGGCTTTAACACAACACTGCCCGTCACGTGACACCCGTGGCCAGGGGGGCATTTATCCTGGGTGTATACACAGTTTATGACTACATCGTTTTCTCATTTGTGGCTTTTCATTATTATTTTCATCAGCATTAAAATATTTACATTAAATTAGATTTCAAAAGCTATTTTGGGGAGACGGTTCCTTGTAACTAGGGGTAGTGATAACACCAGAGGCTGAATTCCTCCAAACGTTCCAGGTGCAGGGTTTTTGTCCTGTTTTTTTTCATTCCACGCTTCTCCTTCCTACCTCCCCACCTCCAACCCCCACCTTTTTCACCCTTCTCCCTGTGGTCTCACGCTGGGCAACTGGCCTGAAGGACACAAACAGGGTGCCCAGGGCCCCCTTCATCTAGAACTCCCATCTGAACTTGACACCAAGGTCAGGGAAGGATTGAGGAGAAGGAGAACCGCCGTACTTGGATAAAATTCTATTAACGTTTGCGCACGTAGGCTTTCTGGCACAACTGCCCGTATAAATTATATTTTTAAAGAGCTAAGCTAGAGTCCTGCCCTCTCCATCCCGAAAATTTCTGTCGACAACTTTTCTAGTCCATTCCTTTTAAAAGGCCAGGACCCACTGTGTCTGCTTCGAATAAAAAATAGCTTCTCTCATTCGATTCAGCCAGGAACTCAGTGACATATAAAAAATAACATGCACATTATCAAGTGAATGGGAACTAGACCTTTAGACAAAATTTCAAAGCATTACATTGTAAATGAAAATTCTGGCAATCTCATAATTATTCATTAGGCATGTATATTTAATTTAACACTATTAAAGGTTAATGCCTAAGTAGCAAAACTGGTCACAGAATAAAGAATGAATGTTCAAACATCTCTATGCATTAAACTTCAAACTTTACTGCAGTACAGTTGAATGACTAGATGCCTACAGCATTTGAATATTGTTTTGGATTATGTACAAGGCATTGCTAAAGTACCTCTTAGGCTTAATTTTTATTACTTGTATTAAAGGAACAGCTAATTACCACATGACAATATAATGACTCTAGCATGTTTGGGCTGGAGACCAAAACAATGAATGTCGGCATGCCAAACCCCAACCTGTATGTTAATCCAGGGGATATCATGGCTTTTTGTCTCGTTAATGATTCCCGATGCCATTAAACCCCACACAAGTATTGTTGGGTCTCACTCTGAACGTCACAAGCCTCTGACCTCAATTAGGGAACTGTCTGGGGGAGGCCAGGGGACACACCCGTGAGAGGGACAGGAACACACGAAATCCTGCAAAACCGTCTGCACTGCCTCTTCCAATTCAATGGGCTCTATCGTCGGTTCCATCCACCCAACGGGACAAACTTGCAAAGTGTTTTACAATCATCTTGATAGTTAATTCCTAAAACGCTCTTTGAGGCATTATATAGCTCATTATGCAACACAGGACCCAGAACATAATTACAACAAACAACAACAATACCATCACCTGTATTTATCCAGCACCTTCTCTGATGTACATGTAACATGACCTCATTAATTCCAGCCGTCACAGTCAGAGGTTGGGGGAAGGGCCTCTAGCATCCCACCCAGGGACAGCGGGGAGGGGGAGGGGAGAAGTCGGAGGCAAACAGACACACACAATTCTAATTAAGATTTCTGCTTCCTGAACCAGCAGCCAACTAAATTATACTGTCTCTTCAAGTACTAATTTAACAAGTATTTCCTACGCATCTCTGCTCCAGGCAAGGCCCGGGTGAGGCACTGGGATGGACATGCAGCAGAATCAGCTGGGACCAGCCTCACAGTAGAGACACACCAAGTTCACAAATGACCAAAGGGAAAGAAAGCAAGGAGGGTGACACTGAAGATGAGATGAGTGGAAGAGCACACCTGGGTGGAGACAACTGGCAAAGGTAAACTCTACTAGGTTCTTGCGGGGGGGGGGGGGGGGGGGGGGGGGGGGAAAAAAAAAAAACATTTGCTTCAAAGGCCTTGAATTTTGCTTAAAAAGAGGAAACCAAAAAAAAAAAAAAAAAAAAAAAAAGCAGACCTAAACAAAACAAAATACTTTCAAGTAAGAGAGGAAACAGGGTGTGGGAACAGGGAATGGGTCCTGGAGGCAGATGGACAGGGAGGGCTTCTTGGAAGAGGTGGCACTCAGAATCAGATCCGCGTGGCAAAGAGGAGAAACTCCAAAGCCTCTTGGCAGAGGGAAGAGCAGTGCAAAGGCCCAGAGGCAGGTATGAATATGGCATATCTGAGGCACAGAGAAAAGCCAGTAAGGCCGCAGCAGTGAAGGGAAGAGAGCCGCAAGGGACACATCGTCAGTGAGGCCTGTGCTTATGGAGCTAAAGGAGAACATGAACAAAGTTAAGGTGAGAAGTAGAAGACACAAAGAAGAATCAAACTGAATTCTGGATCTGCAAATGCCACATCCGAGGTGCCCTGCCGTGTGGTAAGTACCGTGTCAGTCTCATAAAAATACAATGTCTGAATCAAGTTTGTATTCAGCTCGACTCTTGATGGGAAAACCCACCAGAGAAGAGGACTCTTGAAAGGTGAACCGCGGGGCCACTAGAAGAAAACTGCAGTACTCAGAACCAAAAAAAGGTTTGCTGGTTTAGTGGCAAAGTATTTAAGAGTTTTACGCTTCAAGACGAGTTATGCAATTTTCTTTTGAAAAGGTAAATGTTCCAAATTAGCTGCCCTGTTCTCTGATGGCAGATGGCTATCAGTAATATGCTGCCTGGCAGACATTTTTGAGAAAATAAATACACGGGCTACATCTTTGAAGTAGACTTGATATTTTAATACTTAGTGGGGAAAAAAACACTTCTTGAAAGAAACTTATGCTATAGTGACAGCATTTTAAAAGTAGTATTTGGAAACATTCCCATCATCATCTAAACTTATGGGCAAAGACAAGGTCCTCTACAAAAATGTCTCAACTGCTAAAAACTACTGCAAAAATGCAAAGAAACGGGATAATCAGGGGCGTGGGGGGAGATAAGTTAATAAAAACAGAACTAGAAATGACAAGAGATAATGGGATTAGTTGACAAAGACAAAAACAGCTATTATAAGCCTGCTCAAAGATTTAAAGAAAAATATGAACACAATAGGAGAGAAATGGAAGATACAAAGAAGAATCAGATGGAATTCTAGAGCTTGAAATACAGTGTCTGAAATGAAAGAAAAAAAAATTCCCTAGACTGACTTAACACCAGATTAGACACTGCAAAAGAAAAAAGATCAGTGAATTCAAAGACACAATCATAGCAAGTGTCTGAACAGAAAAAATGTTACTAAAACCTCAGCAACCTGTGGAATGGTACCGGGCAATCTAACATACCTGTCCTGGAGAGGGGCAAGGGGTATATTTGAAGAAACAGTGGTGAAATATTCCAAATTTGGTAAAGGCTACAAACCTAAACTCTAAGAAACTCAATAAACTACAAACAGGATAAACATGGAACACCAATAAACCCCATCAAATTGCTAAAAAGAAGAATAAAAAGGCAATCTTAAAAGCCAGAGAAAAGAAGGCTCATTCTGTACAGGGGAAGAAAAATAAGACTAACTAGAGACCTCCTGTCAGAAACAAA